GAGAGAGAGAGAGAGAGAGAGAGAGAGAGAGAGAGAGAGAGAGAGAGAGAGAGAGAGAGAGAGAGAGAGATTGTTGAGGGTGATGCAAATTGTGAGCGAAAACAATGTATGGTTTACTTATTGATGGGGATGTTATGGAGTGATGATCTACAGGGAGCAGCATGTATTATAAAGCACAGTACCTGGAATGATTTTGCTTGTCTTTGTATGTGTGGCCGTTGGTGGGAGAAAACGGGGGCAGAAGTCATTTTCATTAAGACTCTTAGCCATGAAATGGTGTCGTGGTGGTGTGGTGGAGCAATCTGGGAACACGTGTAGTTGATTCGATGATTCTTGTGTGGGAGAGTGAGGCAGGATGGAATGGAACCTATTGTTCTTGTTGCCTGCAGACGTGTAGGTGTGTGTATATTTGTGTGTGTAAGTGTGTGTCCCGCATAATATGACATGTTTGCGGTATGATAGGGAAACCACATCATAATCAAGCTCCAAAATAATATATCGGCGGACCTTAAGAATGAAAAGTTGTAGGCGGGGTGCAGACATCCGGCACTTGGAGGTGGGCGATGACAATGCCGGACCACATGAGCATGCTCAGGAACAAGAACTTGTACGCATGGTGCAAACGGAACCTATACTGTAAGGTGGGGAATGACTATGCCGGACTACACGAGCATCCATGCTCCCCACTGCTCTTTGCGGGCGAACTGGAACACACACTGTCAAACAGACACCACAAGACGGGGAAAGGAAGCACAATAAGGCAAAAGGAAAAGAGGCAACGACAACAAACTGAAGAAAGGCACAAGGACTGGGGGGCACTGGGGAGGTGGGAGGGCAGACCATACATAAATGCACAAAACAAGACAGACAAAAGAAAAGTGCAAGTACAGAAAGATACCCCAAGCATAAGACAACAGGCAGCAGCAAAAGACAATGGGTGGAGGGCACGGGGGAGGCAGGAGAGGCGGGAGGGCAGACGTCACTCAAACACATAAAGCAGGCAAAGCAAAAAATTTACAAGCCCCCCAAAACAGCAAAGACCAAAAAAAATAAAAAACCGATGATGACAAGGTTGTTGCTTCAGAGTTGCACCAACTCATCAGGAGGCTTAACCCTCGACAATCTGCAAAATCTTTGTATTTGATGGTTTTGGTCATGAACCCTTTGACCCTTGTTGAAGCCAGACTGTCCCCAAGCGGAACATAGCAGTGGGCAGCAACCCTGTGGAGCACCAGGCAACACAGTAGAGGCAACATGGCTGCACAACGCCAAAAACGACTGCAAGGAACGACATGACACGCAGGACATTGTTACATACTTCAATGAGTATGGGCAGAACCAAAGATCATCAACCAATGTAGGATGAGCATATATGCAGCGGAAGTCTGATAAACGGACTGACTCACATAGCATCACTCCACACACATACAATCGTGAGATGGTGGGGTCTGGGCCAAGCATAGACGATGCCCAGATCCCGTACACACATACACAGATGAAGGTGGGAGGAGAGGCGAAGGAGGTGGGGAGGTAGACAGCACCGATAGGTCACAGAGATAGAATCCGATAGGTCACCGATATGGTAGTCCAAAATGTCATCCAACAAGATCAAAATGTCGAGGACAATCGGTCACCAATGTCGGAGATG